GGTTCTATATAGGTTCTAAAATAGGTTTTATTTGTGTGTATATATATATATACGGTATATATATATATATATTTTTTATATATATATATATATATATATATATTTTTTTTATATCTATGACCTGGGCATGTTCTTGACAGGTTCAGTGAGATTATTATGATATTGCTTTGTCTGGATGCTGTTCTTTAAATGTATTTATTGATCTGGCATCATTGCAGAAGGGTTTGACGTGTGTGTGTGTGGGTGTGTAGATCCGGTCAGTGGGAATCATGTATGTTTGTGTCTCTGGTTCATGTTCATGACCCCAGCAGCACTGTGCTTTCAGACACACACACACACACACACACACACTGTTTGTTGTCTCTGGCACTGCTGTGTGTGTGTGTGATGTGCTCTGATTCCTCACGCTCCGCTTTGATGTTCAGTGGAGCGGGAAGACCCTCACAAATCACAACACGCCTGTGTCATCCAACAGGCATCCCAGCATGCTACAGGTGCAATTCTTTACACACCGGGCTCATAAGTGCTTGTACACCTGATACACTGTATGACTGCGGTGTGTGATGCAAAATAAATCAGTTGTCCAATTAGACTCGAAGTCTGTCTGTTCCTGGCTATTGCCTCATAGGTCTTCACTTGCTTATGTCACTGAAGTCGACACACAGGGGTACAGCAAGGGTTAAAGGCGTCATTTGAGCAGTGGTGGAATGTAACGAAGTACAAATACTTTGTTACTTTACTTAAGTACATTTTTCACGTATCTTTACTTTACTTAAGTAGAATCAATAGTGCATACTTATTACTTTTACTTCGTTACATTTTGCAGCAATTATTATACTTTGTACTCTACTATATTTCTACAACGTTCTGTTACATTTTCGTTACATTTTCTGGTCAGCTTTTCCCCTGCCGTTCGTCGCACGTTTGTCTCACCAGTGAAGTTTGGTTGCCATATCAACCCGGTCACACTAAATGCGTCTCTATAACACGCAGTGTGTTTATCGTGCAATTTATACGCGGAAATCTGTTTATATGTGCATAGGATACGCATGGGTAGGTTAGGGTAGATTTAGTAGTGGTGTGGGGTGCGTGTGTATTCTACGTTTGGTTAGGATTAGTATGGCAAGCCAAGAGGTTCAGAATTACGCCATAAATGAATCGCGTTTACAGCCAAACCCCGTCACATTAAAGGGGTCATATAATGGTACATGCACTTTTACAAGTTGATTGTACTGAAATGTGTGTTGGCAGTGCCTGTACACAAACATCATAAAATGATAAAAATCCATCCAGTGTTTTTGTTTTAATCTCCTTATATGTTTTTCCCTGCCTCAAATCGAGCCGTTCGATTTTGTGACGTCACACGCTCGGACGCCCCTCCCACGATTGTTGATTGACAGCCGGGTTTCAACACAGACCCGCCCTCGCTCGTGAGCGAGCTGTCAATCATAGTCTGCGCGGACCGGCGCGGTCATTGTTGATGTGCTGGAGCACTGTCTATGAGCAGAATGGCGTCTAAGCGATTGTGGTGTTCTGCTCTTGGGTGCAATAACGAACACAGCAGTCATTTAAATGTTCCTAAATCCGAACCGCTGAAGACGCAGTGGCTGAGTTTGTTTTCGAAGGGAATATTCCCCACGAGCAACGTCAATGCTCTCATGTTTGCGCGAATCATTTCTCAGCAGACTGCTTTATAAACGAGGAGGGTCAGTATAAAGCTGGTTTTGCTAAGAAGCTGCTTCTGGACCGGTACCAACTATTCGTGTTCCTGCTGAACCTCCAAAATAACTGAAGTGAGTGTAACGTTTTATTAATCTTTAATATTTATATTAATCTTTGCAAATCGTTAGATGCACGCTTCACAATGAATGCGTCTAAGGTTTACACTCAGGGTACATTACGGCATGTTTTCTATGTACGACGTTCTCAATAAAATTCATAATCCCACGTTTATAATGAACAACGCGTTATGGATATTGTGTTATTGAGTTACAAACGGTGTACACACAGAACAGAGAGGCGGAGTCAGCAAAGCTCATTATCATTTAAAGTCATATACACTGAAACGGCGTGCTGAAAACAGAGCTGTTTTTGACCAGGTAAAATAAGTGTTTTCTTACAATACTAATGAGAATTTTTAATTAAAGTATAATACAAAGTTTTAATTTAGACTCTAAAGAATCATATTAGCTTGTACAAAAATGGCATTATATGACCCCTTTAAGCTTGATGTGTATATTGCTTAATTGCAAGCTTGTTCAGAAATGGTGACAGAAACTTAAAAAATAACGGCTTTTCCATCATTATTGAACATCATAATAGGAGTATTAGGTTGAATGAGTTAGGATTAACTGTTTTATTAATCATTAGAATATAGACATTAAGAGAATACAATTTTTACTTTTAATACTTAAAGTACATTTAAAATCAGGTACTTTTTACTTAAGTAGGGTTGTCATTGTGATACTTCTACTTTCACTAAAGTAAATATGTCTCTGGTTATATGTACTTTTACTTAAGTACTGAGATTCAGTACTTCCTCCACCACTGCATTTGAGACAGGGCCGAAGTATGTCTCGATAAAGTCACCATGAAATCAAAATGTACCAATAATAAACAACAACCAACCAATCAATTCCCCATGGACAAAACAAGTCCCGACCTATAATTTTCATGTTCGAGAAGCAGATATACAAATGACTTGATCGCGGTTCTCTGTTCCTCTTTTAAAATCAATGCTCTGTCGTCGATATCTTCTATAACAGACGCGATGGCGGAATCTACACATCTCAATTCTCCAGCGGCGGCCGCCTTTGTTGTAAACGAATTCAACCCAAGCGCTATTTGGTGACGTGGATGATTATGTTCCTGTTGATCATCTGTCCGTCATCGTATAAATCCCGCCCTGACAATTTGATTGGTCCGAACAGCTCTGGTTCGAGCATAGTTGCTCCACAACGGATCAAGTCCAGACCGAACTTCCTGACCTCAAATGTTGTGGGTGGGGCTGAGTTCGGCTGGCATCCAGGCTAGATATACATCACAATAGGGAAGAAAAGACTATCGCAACTTTTGTTGCATGCCGACTTTCATCAAGACAAGTTTTTTAAAATATTTTTTATATATTTTTTTTAAATATTTTTTATATAGCGCTTTATAGAATGCTTAGCACCTTGCAAACATGCTTTTGTTTCCGGGTGAACTGAAAAAACAAAACAAAACAAAAAACAGACATTTTAGCCAGCCAATCAGATTGTGACTTCCGATTTCCGCCAGTGTTTTCCACATTCGTGTACAAAATACATCATACTTTCAGTGAATGACCAGTTAGACATCAACCAATTCAGATCTCAATGAGGCATGAAATACCATCATCTGTTCAGTTATGTTAGATAATGAAGGTTAACTGAGGGTTAAAGGAGCGTCAGTCTGTGTCTGTGATGGAGATGAATCATGCTTGCACAAACACGCTGATTTCATTTACACCATCACAAACCCCAATTTACCCCATATACACCAGGATTCTGATGATACCTGCTAACTGTAGTATTTTGAGCTGAATATATTTCATAACATTGATCTGTCACAGTGGGGAAGAATGATTTTGAAGGTCTGGGAGAGTAAAACTGACTCTTGTAGGCAGAATGATGTGGTGACGCTGTCATTTAATCTCTGATGAGGGTTTCCGAGACCACCCGTCGGCCAAAACTCATGAATCATTCATGAAATCAGCATTAATCAATATCCGTTTTCATTTCATGCATGTGTCACGCATTTAGAGCCTTGATTACAGATTCACAATGCAAACACTTAAAAAAGAAGTGTTTTCACACAGAATGAATGTTCATTTGTTTATTTTTCATTTCTTTAGTTCATTTGCTGCTTTTTTTCTTTTGTTCTTCCTTTTGTCTGTTTTTGCTCGTTTGTTTCAATGGTTCTTTGTTTGGTTTATTTTTTCTTGCCTTGGTTTTGTTCCTTTGTTTGTCATTTTGTTCTATATTTTTGTTTATTTGTTTGTTTGTCTATTTTTGTATCTTTCATTGTTTGTTTATTTTATTTTCTCAGTTTTTTTTTTTGCTTGTTTGTTTGCAAGAAAGCATTCTTGCTTTCTTTTGTGGTTTCTTTCTTGCTTTCTGTCATGCTGAGATGCATTAAGCAAGGCAGACACTGTGGAGAGGAGCGGATTAGATGTGTGTCCTTGACCCCTGACCTTGACCTCTGTCACAGGCCAATGCTGATGTGGGGTTAAACACACACTCATTGATTGCTGTCTGAGATCAGACAGAACAGGAGGGCAATATGTGGGGTTTTATGTGTGTTTTCAGTGTCTTACCCTATACTATTGCTATTGTTGACAATCCAGCAGCTTCCGTTATTTTTCCGTTATAACTGGAGTTAGTGTAAATAGCCTCTGCCAACAAGGCGGGCTTTTTGCACTTGGTGTAAATAGACACTGTGTGTTTTTAAACCAATGCATGCAACACTAGTACATGCCCACTTTAGTCCAAGTGGACATATATTGGACAGATTATGGTTACTGTTATTATGGATATAAACACAGTTTTTTGTGTGGACATGAGTTTATCTCCGGTACAGGTGTCGATCAAAGAGCAGAGGATAAAAGTCCTGATTGAAGACGGTGTGTTTTAATGAAGGATTGTGTGATGTGTTTCATATGTAGATGTTTTCAGCTGTTATTCATTCAGTCGCTTTAGTATTTGCCAGGTTTATTTGTTGAGATAGTGAGCGTGTATGTGTGCGTTCAGCGTGTTTCTGTACGGTTTTGTAGTGTCAAGAACATGTTTGGAGAATTTAGTAATTTATGCAAAACATAATTGTAAAATTATAATTTCTTTTCTTTTTATTTATTGGTGAAATGTGACCTAGACTTGTTTTCATGAGATTCACACATTAGTATGAGTGTGTTTGTGTGTGTCGCCATGTTTTTGGCCAGGTTTGCATCATGCGCACACATGTTAATCCTGTGTGTGTGTTTCCAGAGCTGCCGGAGAACTGGACGGACACGCGGGAGACGCTGCTGGAGGGCATGGTGTTTCAGCTGAAGTATCTGGGCATGACACTGGTGGAGGAACCCAAAGGAGAAGAGCTCTCGGCCGCTGCTGTCAAGAGGATCGTTGCCACAGTAAGACACATGTACACCAACCGACCCCGTCACACTGAACAAAAAATTGGCGTAGAAACAACTTTCACTCACAATTGCTAGCGAATTTCACAAACAATTACAATGAAAAAGTAAGCAACACATTGAGTTAAATGTTAAATTTGGAAGCAAAAAACCCCTGAAATAGTTCTGTTCTTAACTCTTTCCCTGTCAGCGCTTTAAAAAAAATACTAAATTTAAGTTACCAGCCAGCACCAGCATTTTTGATCATTTTCACAAAACTTTCATGGCCCCCGGAATATTTTGTTGTATGAACATCTGAACATGCAATATTTCAAGAGAAAGAACAGAGCCTCTGCTTTTTATTTCAGCTTCATGCATTCATTTTTATCAACCCTTGCATGTGGGTAAGTTTAATAAAAAAAGCAATATTTTGAACAAAAAGCTGAGAAAATTGCCCTTTGTCAAAGACTATGTCCGGATTAGATTCAGAACGATGATCAAAACACAGATGGAGTAGATCGAGTCTATCGACACCCCTAAAGCTTCACAGTCCTGGGCCGACATTTCATTCAGTAACATTAGGCAGTTTTAATTTATATGCCGTTTAATGTTGATGATTAGGTTATTTTACATATGCATAAGCAATGCTTCTGTGGCTAGTTTCTGCGGCTTCTTCACCTGTGTTTTAAACAGGAGATTCTGTACTCTTTCAGAAGTTGCGTAATAGCGCCCCCTACCATATAACAGTCAAAACATGGATTGACAGAATTCCCATTAAAGCATTAGTTCACATCAAAATGAAGATTCTGTCAGTAATTACTCGCCCTCATGTTGTTCCAACCCCGTAAGACTTTCGTTCATCTTCGGGACACAAATTAAGACATTTTTGATTAAATCTGAGAGCTGGATCACTCCTCCATAGGCTTCTAAAGGGATCGAAACTTGCCGGCCCAGAAAAGTCAAAGACATCGTTAAAATAGTCTGAGTGACTACAGTGGCTCTATCTTTAAGTTTATCAAGCGACGAGAATACTTTTTGTGCGCAAAAAAATAAATAAAAAAAATAACGACTTTATTCAACTACTCATTTCCTTCTCTGTTGGCCTCGAGATTTCACGTAGTGTAACAGCGCAACGCTTCTGTGTTGTACGTCACACGTAGGCTCACTATTGGCCGACGCTGGTCATGTGTGTGATGCGTGTGACGTACAACACAGAAGCTTTGCGCAGTTTCAGCAAAACTAACATGGAAAAGGTTCTACATGGAACCATCAATGCATATAAACCTTTATTTCCAAGTGTAAGAGTCCTTCAGGGAAAATAGCCACAAAAGTGTAGAATTTGATGCTTTTAAGCTCTAATCTGTCTCTAATGGTTTGTAAGTGGTGCTAATGGGTGTGTGTGTGTGTCTCAGGGGGTTTCTGGGTGTGGTTCTGTGCATTTGAACAGGTTGGATCGTGTCATGATGTAAGGTTGTTTTGAGGTTATTAAACGCTCCAGATTGTTGTGAATCAACAATAAAAATCAGTTGCATACCAAACGGACTGTGTGTGTGTGTGTGTGTGTGTGTGTGTGTGTGTGTGTGTGTGTGTGTGTGTGTGTGTGTGTGTGTGTGTGTGTGTGTGTGTGTGTGTGTGTGTGTGTGTGTGTGTGTGTGTGTGTGTGTGTAAAAGCCAGATGTGGAATATTTCTACTTGATATCTCTGACTTCGGACTATAAGATGATATGTAAGAAAACGAAATGTTTGGGTGTTATAATAGTTCATAAATTATGATGGAAACCACATATAAATAATGGAAAAACAAAAATGTCTAAATCCATTGCAATATTAAATAGAATAAAACATATTTTGTAAATGCAAATTGTATTCAGAGGCTGTTCGAAATAAGAGAAAGTCAGTGTAAACTAAGAGGAGTGTATATGTTTAAAAAAGTAAGGGCAAGAACTAATACAAAAAATAGATGTATATCTGTTAAAGGGCTAAACTATGGAATAATTGTGATAAGCAATTAAAATTGTGTACTTCACTCTGTAAATTCAAGAAAATGTTTAAAAACAAAGTGATAAATAATTATATAACGCGATATGAATAATTTGTGTATGTCATATGTAAACTATTGTAATGATATCTGATATGTGTATATGTTGTTTATTTTGTATGAATCAAATCCAGAGAGAAAAGTGACGCTTATTAGATAATTATGTATAAAGGGTAGGCATAATAAGCATTGGCTTTCAGCCTACACCTTTTCAGTTATTATGTATATTTTTCTTTACTATGGAAAATGATCTGTGAGGACCGAAATACATTTTTTGTTGAATTGAATTTCAGTTTATTTCAGGCAACATTTCTAATAGCTAACATCATCTAATATTTATATTATAAATATATTGTTCACTGTTAGTCCATGTTAGTTAATACATTACTAATGTAATACAATACTAATTATGAGACCTTATTGTAAAGTGTTACTGCTTGACTGTTACTGTTTTTAACAACACAGCTTGAAAGCGTGCTGCTCATTGCACAAGATGCTGAGGAAAAAAACACAATGCCAAAATGTAAAAGCCTCCAAAATCAGCTCTGATGGATTCAAATCATTTGACAGCTGCTTGATAAAGCCAAGTTTTCTGTCTCTTTCTCTCTCAGGCTAAAGCTGGTTGGAAGAAGCTTCAGAAGGTGACGCTAAAGGTTTCTCCTCGAGGGATTATTCTCTACGACAGAGCAAACCAGATGATAGAGAATGTGTCCATATACAGGTGAGTCCCTGCGGACACTGTCTGAGCTCTCTCTCTCTAGAGATGGAAATCCTGATGTCATTATGTTGTTGTTTTTTACCTTTTAATAACTCATAACAAGGACCCAAATATATACTAAACAATATATTTTTTTATTGGTTAAAATTGTTATATTATATTCTTAATATTTACATATGTGATTCAATAGAGGTGTACAAATGTCATGGAAATTATTTGGTTCTAGTATTCACTTAAAAGCTGAACTAGTTCTGAATAAGACTGGTTTTCGATAGCCTCTTGCAATAAAAAAGAGAGGAGTGTTTGTCGCCCGCCCCTGATATTCTGCCATCCATCATTTAGAGCAGTGCGACCTGATGATTGCTGTGTTTTCATACAGACAGAGAGAGAGAGAGAGAGATCTGTATTGATCTGTTTTAGTGTGTCTGAGGCTCAGACACACACACTCTCTGACCCTCACCTGGGACCGCAGCTATTGTTGGACGCTCGCACACGCTCAGTCTGTGCTGTGTCTAATGAATAGACATGAGGGAGGCGTCAGCCTCTCTCTCCACACCAGTTACACAAGCAATACTCCAATTATGTGGGTCATTCTCATGAAGACATGTCCAGGTTTCATTTCACCCTAAAACCAAAAGGAACAAGTCAATGCAGCCTAAATGCTAATATTTTAACATGTATTAAGATTTTTTCATTGTGACATTATTTTCAAAACAATTAAGTTCATTTTCCCTCAAATTCTCAGTAATTTAAAATAAAATTTGCTGTTAATGTAATAATTTCGTACAATTTTATATATATATATATATATATATATATAGTATATGACATATACATGCATATATTTATATTCATGATGGGAATCTCCCATTTCACCACATCCAAAAGCTGCTGTACTGGCCTGAGATCTGTTGACTGTGGAGGCCATTTGAGTTTAGTGACTCACTGTCATGATTAAGTAACCAGTTAGAGATGATTTGAGCGCTGTGACGTGTGTTATAAACGATCTGGTGGTACTTCTTTTAGCCACTATGCTCCAAAAATGTGAAATCGTCTACCAGATGAAGTAAAAGAGGCAACTAGCATTCATATTTTTAAAAAGCGGGTTAAGACATATCTTTTTAAAGTTGCTTATCAATATAACAATATGGTGTTGTAATATAACAAAGCTCATATAAGTCAGTTTTATGTTCCATGTTACCTTCTAATTTTTTTCTCATTGTTTGATTTATTTTATTTTATATTGATATTGAGGTCAAACTATATTTCCAATTTACTTTATTTTACTATTGCCCTCAAAAATGTCCCCCAAATTCAAGGGGAAAGGGAAACAAAACTGCACAATTGAACTAAATCTATTTTAGTTGTAGCAATTAAAGTGAAATGTGAAAATGTATGAAAAATATTGATTTCTAATGGATAAAAAGCGATTAACATGAATGATTGTTAGCTTTTGTCGGTGTAGCCAGAATATGGTGTGCCATTTCCCTACACACAACGTTTTTAATACATTCTTTTAATCAGTTAATCAACATTAACAATCATTATTACAATATTAAGAGCAAAAATCAACAATAATTGCAGCCCTACCCTGTAATGAGTTCCTGTTTTTTAATTTATGTACTTAATGTAAGCTGTTTAAGTAATGCAATTGTTCCACCTTTGAGTCATAAATAAACATAAATTCCTTGTAAAGAAAACATAAATGCCATGTCAGATGCAGCTTCTGCTCGACCTTTGCAGTGTAAAGATGGCGTTTGTTTTATTTGACGTTAAAAGACAACACAGGTACGTTTAATAAGGTCATTAAAAAAAGTTCTTACATAGGTAAAAAAATAAAATAAATAAAAATAAACTGGAAATCGATTCCAGGGTGCAAATATTGTCCCTTTATAGAAAATGTAATTCTGACCCTGAAAGTTTTTATTTTTTTATTTTTTTATTAGCATAAACTACTGGTCCTAGTCAGACAGAAGTGTGTGTGTGAGAGTCAGAGAAAGTTTTTGAATGTGTGTACATTTTTAAATGTGAATCCAGACTGATGGTGGTCATCCATCATTAGTCCCGCCCCTCCTGCTGTGGGTCTGCCCTCTGATAGGCTGAGCCAGCTGTCACTCAAGGCCGTGGGGAGAAATCAACACTAGAGGAGTTTATGAGTTTACAGAGAGAGCTCAACAGGAAACCAGAGACCATGCGGTCATAAAGGAACTATCCCACGTGTGTGTGTGGGTGTGTGTTATGGTTTGGTGGGTCAGCTTTCTGTCATAGTGCTGATGGAGCGTTGAACATAGAGAACACAACACTGCTTGTAGACGTTTTTACATCTCAGAGGAGGTGACATCATGCTCTGCTATATACGGGTGTGTGTAAGTGATTTAGTGGTGGATGATGTACACAGTGGGTGTGTTATACTGGATAGAGAACAATCTGAGGCCATCTGGATTTTTTTTATTCCCCTACTAGATAAACAGAAATCTTTTAAGTTTTAGATCACTGACCAAATGACAGTAAATATGTGTTGTTGATCATGTGAGCAGGTTCATGTCCAGTTCTTGCTTCAGTTGAAGCTCAAGATGCTCCGATCATACTGGAGAACGTGATCATCAGGTTTCCAAAATACCAAATAACTGTAATCATTATGCTGACAATAAAATGTGTTATTCTAAACTTGCATTTACACTAGTGTTCTCAGATATTTGAAGCCGACTTTATATGTACACACAAGTTTGGGGTCGGTAAGATTTTTGGATGTTTTTGAAAGCCTCATCAAGGCTGCATTAATTTGATCAAAAATACAGTAATATTATTATAATTTAAAGTAACTGTTTCCTATTTGAATATTCCATTTACTTTTAATATTCTATATATTGTTTAATATTTGAATATATTTTAAAATGTAATTTATTCCTGTGATCAAAGCTGTATTTTCAGCATCATTACTCCAGTCTTCAGTGTCACATGATCCTTCAAAAATCACTCTAATATGATGATTTGATGCTCAAGAAACATTTCTGATTATTATAAATGTTGAAAGCAGTTGTGGTGCTTAATATTTTTTTTTTTTCATAATTTTTTGATGAATAGAAAGTTCAAAAGAACAGGATTGATTTGAAATAAAAATCTTTACTGTTGAAATAAAGTCTTTTCTGTCACTTTTAATCAATTGAATGCATCTTTGCTGTGTAAAAGTATTAGTTTCTTAAACTTTTGAATGGTAGTGTCATTTTTTATTTTTCACACAGGTTGTCTTTAGATTGACTGCTTATTTGTTGTCTGTAGGATATCGTACTGCACAGCGGATAAGATGCACGATAAAGTGTTCGCCTACATCGCTCAGAGTCAACGCAACGAAACACTGGAGTGTCACGCGTACCTCTGCACCAAGAGGAAAGTGGTGAGTGTGTGTTCATATGTTTGTGTGTCAGAGACACTCCCTGTCTTTCCTTCTGTCTATAAATAGTTATACGTTAAGACCACACTTCCTCTGACAGAGAAACAGATAGCAATGTGCTTTTTTTCTCCCCATGGCAAGAGATGTGGCGTTAAAAGCTCTCTTCCCTATTCCCCGTCTGTCTCAGGCTCAGGCGGTGACGTTAACGGTGGCTCAGGCTTTCCGATTGGCATTTGAGTTTTGGCAGGCTGCTAAAGGAGGTATGATGCACTCGACAACTTCAGTCATCCCAGCACAGCTCTTGTTTATCTTTCTGATTCTTTCTGTCTTGTGAATTATGGGCTGTGAATGGAGCTCAAAAGCAGGTGTGTCCTACTTGAAGCTGAAGTGTGTGATTTCCACACTCTTAGCTCACCAAACAGAAGTCCAAAAATAATGGCTGTTTTCTAAGGGGTTTCTTCACCTGCTATTGGTCGTAGAAAAAAGATAGCTCCGCCCCAAACTTAATGTTGCTGTGTTGGGCTGATTGAGAGCCATCTTTTTATCCTTCTTTTGACTATAAACTCATTATAGAAGACCTATTATGCCCTTTTAAGAAGTCTTGAAGGTTCAAAAAACACATTATTTTTCACATATTTTGTAGCTCCTCACTTCCCAGTCTGTCAGTAACGCTCTGTTTAGTTCCTGTCTCTATGAAGCCCCTCCTTCTGAAAAGCACAAAGTGCTCTGATTGGTCGGCTGGACCAGTGTGTTGTGATTGGTCAAATGCTTTGAGTGTTTGGGAAATGTCACCCCCCTCACCATAACCACGCGTTTTAACACACTACTAACTAACTCAACCAGCCCTTGCCTCTTTATTTTGCGTATGCCTCAGGCGGGAATTATTTAAATTAGGAATATTGTGACGTTTCCGGACGAAAACTTCGTTCAGAAACAGTGACACTGATATAGAGAAGAACTCCCGCTGGAGGGACTTTGTGTTTTGCAGAGCTTTTTCAAGCTAAAACAGCAACATTACACACTAAAGAAAGTTGAACGTAAAAAAAGGTCCTCTTTAAGAAATGTTTTAATAGCGCAAGTAAAGAGTAAGTACGTTTAATTAAGTTCCATGCATCAATTGCAACTTAAACTGGGGACACATTTAACGACTGTAAGGCCGATTATGAATGTAATTTGATACTTACGACTGATCATGCCCAAACACACCGAGTCAGAGACCGTTGCGTTCAGTCGTTGGAAACAGTGTGTAAGTGTTTTCAGTTCAGTATTGGAATGTTTCAGCTTGTCGTTAAGCGTGTCCCTGCTTTAATTGCAAATATTTAAAAAAAATATGAAATATTTTTGAAATATTTCCCTGCTTTTAAATGTGTCCCTGCTTTAATGGCAAATATGAAAAAAACATGAAATATTTTTTAGCAGGAAAATGTCTGAAAAACATGCATTTATTATTTTAAACTAGATTTTTACTATTTACTTCTTGCGTCATGTATTTTGATGTTAATTGGCAACAAAAAAAACCTTTTAAAGTAGTTTCAGAGCAATATTGCCTCTGCCCTGTGAGTGTGTTTATTTATTTATTTATTAGAGTTTTTTTAAGGAACTGTATATTTCTGTATATGTATTTATTTCCTGCAGGGATGGAGGACAAGAAAGAGATTTTAGTGCAGGGAAAGTAGAGCAGCTCCTGTCGTACAGATCAGCAGAACATGTATGCAATTTACTGCATGTTTGAACATGCCTGTGTGTGTGTGTGTGTGTGTGTATCCGGAGGCCTGTTGAGATTTATTCATTTAATCTCTCTGCACCTGATGGTTCGCTGCAGGATCTGATCATCTAGCAGAACTCACACCCGATCTCAAATCTCTTCCTCCGTCTCAATGCGTTTTACTGCAGGGCCTGAAATATAAACAAATGACACAAACACATTTCCTTAGTGAATCTTTATGGTCCTGGGAAGGGTGGTGCCTGTGCATCATGGGTATGTTTAATTTTTAATTCAAAAGTGATGCATGTGATGATGAGAGAAATTAATATTTATCAGTTTAGTTATACATGTAAATCTAAAGATTTTAAGCTGAAATATGGACATAAATTGGTCGTTCCGGTTCACTACTTTCAGAGGTTCAGAAGTGAATTAAAACGCCTTTAATGTGATGGTTTATCACTGTGGTAACCACACAGAGAAGCACCAAACACACCATTATGACACTGCAGGAAGAAGATCTGAGAAGATGACTTCCCTCTTTAGAGCTCTACTATAGGTATATACAGTTCCTCATGAAGAGCTTTGATAGTGATTGAGGATGTTTGATTTCCATTTCATTCATTCAGGCAGAGTTCAAGTCCACCGCACAGTTTAGTTAGTGCTACATGTGTTCATTATTTAAATGTACATGTAGGGCTGGTTTCTCCTGGACCTGAGGCACATTTATACTCACTGACCTCATTCTTTTTTTAACTTTTAGTAATACATATTTAACAAACTATTAAATATGAATATATATGAAAGCATATGAATCAAAGTTTTAAGATAAAAATTATGTACATTTATTTATTTACGTTAGTTATTAATTTTTAAATCCTGAATATTATTTCTTGGTGGATATATTTATTTATGCATTTATTTATTTATTGCATGTGGCATTTGACAACCTCATCTAACTGTGTCATGTCATAAATAGTTTAAATGATCAGATGATAAACAAAAAGAGTGACGAAAAAGGCAATTTAGAATTTCTCAGGTCAAATAAAGAACAATGTTTAATGTAAGTATGTTAACAATAACACAAGCTTGAAATTTCTGCTTTGTTTTCAGAGAAAGAGAAGCAGGTGAAATGTGGATCAGATGGAGAGGCGGCCAGCAGCTCTCAGTGCGAGGGCAGCACAAAAGGAGGAGGTGAGCGCGCACACACACACACACACACACACACACACAGAGAGAGAGAGCATATTTAAATCTACGCTTTGTTTCCTAATCAGCCATTAAATGCGTCAATCAACAGGGCAATTTGTCACTAATTTCTGTTCAATTTCTATGGTGTTGTGCTCTGTAGCTCCGCCCACAGTAGAATCTCATTGGTTTAAAATCCCACTCTACATAACGGTGTTAGATATCAAATATGTTCTTATTGGCTCTGATTGTGTTGTCACACAGTATTCTCACTTTCCGTGTGAAGTGACAAATAGTTATCACTGGAAACATGATGATAATACCATAGTATTCATTTTGCATGAAAAAGGGTCGTAGTCTGGAGCCCTGAAAATGTAATATATTTTTTTCTGAATATTACAGTTTTTACTGTATTTTTTATCAAATAAATGCAGCCTTGGTGAGCAGAAGAGACTTCTTTCAAAAACATAACTTTTGAGTGGTAGTGTATTCTCTGTTGATGTGATCAGATATGGATAGCTATTCCAATTCTAGATGCATTATACTGTTATAAATTAAGTCGTAACAGTACTACTCAAAGACCCCTGTATTATCATCTGACACCATCACAGTACTTTTTTGTAAGGGTGCCAGAGGACCCTGGATGGTTCTCAGGTTGCCAGGTTACAGAAATAATCTTGGACGGCAGAGTTCAGTGAACGAATGAACCCTTGAGGACCAGTGATCCGTGTGCCATGAGACAGACGTGTGTGTGCATGAATAAAGGACTGTGTGTTCGTAAATCCCATCAGATATCAGAAACATGATTCTTTTAGCCTACACACACACACACACACACACAGCGGCTGATCTCTGCTCATGAAATGTGAGACCAGGACAGAGATGGACGCGTTTAACGGCTCAGGATAGTGATGTGATGTGAGTCTGTGAAGCGTGTCCTGGCTTGATGTTGAGAAGAGCGTTGACTCTTCATTCTCTACATGCACAGATCTGTATGATCCCTGCAGGTGTGGAGATGAGAAAATATACCGTTCGTAGGTTGATTTATAACCATTGTGTCTGATCACCTCGTGTTGCTCCAGGAGGTCTGAGCCTGTATTAAGTGTAATTAAATTAATTAATTAATCTGCCAAGTTATATAGTTTATTAGCCTAATTGTAGGCTGGTTATGATTGCCAAGAAACAGAGTAATTTGTCAACAGAATTAGGATCCCTCCGTCCCTCCATTTATCCATCTATCCGTCCGTCCGTCCGTCCATCTCTCCATCCATCCGTCCCTCCATCTATCCATCCATCCGTCCCTCCATCCATACATCTGTCCCTCCATTTATCCATCCGTCCGTCCATCCATCCATCCATCCATCCCTCCATCCATCCGTCCCTCCATTTATCCATCCGTCCGTCCATCTCTCCATCCATCCATCCGTCCCTCCATCTGTCCGTCCATCTCTCCATTCATCCGTCTGTCCGTCCGTCCGTTTATCCATCCATCCGTCTGTCCATCCATCCGTCCGTTCATCCATCTGTCCGTCCGTTCATCCGTCCATCCGTTCATCCATTTGTCCGTCCATCCTTCCATCCATCCGTCCGTTCATCCATCCGTCCATCCATCCATCCACCTCTCCATCCATCCGTCTGTCCGTCCGTTCATCCATCCATCCGTCTGTCCGTCCGTTCATCCATCCTTCCGTTCATCCATCCGTCCGTCCATCCATCTCTCCAACCATCCATCCGCCCGTCCATTCCGTTCATCCATCCATCCGTCCGTTCATCCATCCGTCCATCCATCCATCCATCTCTCCATCCATCCGTCTGTCCGTCCGTCCGTCTGTCATCCGTCCGTCCGTTTATCCATCCATCCGTTCATCCATCCGTTCATCCATTCGTCCGTCCATCCTTCCATCCATCCTTCCGTTCATCCATCCGTCCGTTCATCCATCCGTCCGTCCATTCCGTTCATCCATCCATCCGTCCGTTCATCCATCCGTCCATCCATCCCTCCATCCATCCGTCTGTCCGTCCATCCGTCTGTCATCCATCCGTCCGTTCATCCGTCCATCCGTTCATCCATTCGTCCGTCCATCCTTCCATCCATCCATCCATCCATCCATCCATCCATCCATCCTTCCATTCATCCATCCTTCCGTTCATCCATCCTTCCGTTCATCCATCCGTCCGTTCATCCATCCGCCTGTCCATTCTGTTCATCCATCCGTCCGTTCATCCATCCGTCCATCCATCTCTCCATCCATCCATCTCTCCATCCATCCATCTCCATCCGTCCGTCCGTCATCCATCCGTCCGTTCATCCATCCATCCGTCCGTCCGTTTATCCGTCCATCCGTTCATCCATTCGTCCGTCCATCCTTCCATCCATCCATCCGCCCGTCCATTCCGTTCATCCATCCGTCCATCCATCTCTCCATCCATCCATCCGTCCGTTCATCCATCCGTCCGTCCGTTCATCCATTCATCCGTCCGTCCATCCGTCAGTCTGTCCGTTCGCCCATCCATCCATCCATCGTATTGCACGCAGTAACGGCTGCTGAAAAATCAGCTTTGCATCGCAGGAATAAATTACATTTTAAAAATATATTCAAGTTGAAATTTGAATTACGGTTTTAAATTGTAATGATATTTCAAAATATTTTGATCAAATCCATTTATATATTGTATTTATTTATGTTTTGCATTTATTTATTTGTATGTTTTTACTTATTTAGTTTTATTTTGTCATTATCATTATTTTTATTGTGTGTGTAGAAGTGGCCACTGGGGATCTACTGGACTTTGAATGTGGAGTAAAAGATCACTCAGGAAAAGACGACACACACCCTGTACCGAACCTCAGCACAGAGAACAACAACACTGTATGGGTAAGAACACACACACACACACACACACACACACACACGCACACACACAATCGTCTGCATATATCATACATGTCCCAGATTATCCAAAAGCATAGGTACTTCACAAACTGACTTGAATAATTCCTTAATAATAATTAGACTGAATTAAAATCTTTATCCATAATAGACCTGGTACTGTAGATGTTAAACAGTAGTATTGACAGGAGAAAACCACCACAACTCACTGCTATTAATTAATTATTTGTATTATTAAAGCATCAACAATAAAGCGTCAACAATAATGTAGTTTACATGCCAATGTTTTAATTATAAAATGAATTAGTTATTTACAAATTAATTTATATTTATACAGCAATATTTACACTCACCGGCCACTTTATTAGGTACCCCATGCTAGTAACGGGTTGGACCCCCTTTTGCCTTCAGAACCAGTGTTGGGCAAGTTACTTTTAAAAAGTAATTAGTTACAGTTACTAGTTACTACTTCCAAAAAGTAACTAAATTAGTTACTCAGTTACAAATTTTAAAAGTAACTAGTTACTTAAGAAAGTAACTATTGCGTTACTTTCAAGTAAAATTAAATTTTAAATGCTCAAATGTGACCCCACCTCTACCCCTCTTTAACGGAACTTACAATACATGTGCATGTTCAATTATTTATGATAAATCTAAATATTATAATGAAATGGACACTTAATACAATACATTATTAACAGAAACATGAAACATTGTAGGCCTACACACATCTAAAAAAAAAAAAATGTTGCTGTGGGACAAAGTGAGACTAGCCTCCAATCAAATGCCATGTAGATATTATGTTTATATAGTGGATCAATGCAAATAACACAATAGATGTTTTGGAACTTTTGATATTTATTGCCCCTCAACAGGCCACAGCTGGGCAAAATTAAATTAAGCTTGTTAAGCTCGTCGCCATACCTGTCTCTCGTTGACTGACTGGCTTGCTTGTGTTGTTATTTGTGTGTCCTGTCCTGTCCGACTATGCGTTATGATGGGTCGTTCGCAATTCATGAGCGTTAGCCGTTAGTGATGATGGATCGACTCGTTCGCGAATGAGCTTTTGATGGGTCGTTCGCGATTCGCGAATGAGGCGACTCTAAGAGGCTCGCATATCTGAAGAGCCGACTCTATTTTTACAAATTTAGCCTATAGAAATTAAATAATTATGTAAAAAAAAAAATATATTATAGTCAAAGTCATTTAAAGAGCCGTTTGTGAGCCAAAAGAGCCGGCTCTTTTCAGTGAGCTGAGTCAAAAGTGCCGAATGCCTACTATGCGTGCTTTCGAACACCCGCCCAACTCTACCTCTGATTGGCTTACAATGACATTTTACTCTACCTCAGCCAATCGTCAGCATTTATGCGCTTGTCTCGTGCTCTGCCCACTAACCAAGGAAGAACAGTAAAAAAAGTATTTGCCTCTCGCTCAGAGATCTAGTTGGTCTGATGAAAAAAAAAACCCAGCTTCATCAGTTATAGTAACGCGCCGCATTTTTTGGCAGTAACGGGAACGGCGTTATTAAGATGAGAAGAGTAATCAGTTAGATTACTCGTTACTGGAAAAAGTAATGCCGTTAGTAACGGCGTTATTTATAACGCCGTTATTCCCATCACTGTTCAGAACTGCCTCAATTCTTCGTGGCATAGATTCAACAAGGTGCTGGAAGCATTCCTCAGGGAGTTTGGTCCATATTGACATGATGGCATCACACAGTTGCCTCAGATTTGTCGGCTGCACATCCATGATGCGAATCTCCCGTTCCACCACATCCCAAAGATGCTCTATTGGGTTGAGATCTGGTGACTGTGGGGGCCATTTTAGTACAGTGAACTCATTGTCATGTTCAAGAAACCAATTTGAAATGATTAGAGCTTTGTGACATGGTGGAAGTAGCCATCAGAGGATGGGTACATGGTGGCCATAAAGGGATGGACATGGTCAGAAACAATGCTCAGGTAGGCCGTGGCATTTAAACGATGCCCAATTGGCACTAAGGGGCCTAAAGTGTGCCAGGAAAACATCCCCCACACCATTACACCACCACCACCAGCCTGCACAGTGGTAACAAGGCATGATGGTTCCATGTTCTCATTCTGTTTACGCCAAATTCTGACTCTAACATCTGAATGTCTCAACAGAAATCGAGACTCATCAGACCAGGCAACATTTTTCCAGTCTTCAACTGTTCAATTTTGGTGAGCTCTTGCAAATTGTAGCCTCTTTTTCCTATTTGTAGTGGAGATGAGTGGTACCCGGTGGAGTCTTCTGCTGTTGTAGCCCATCCGCCTCAAGGTTGTGCGTGTTGTGGCTTCACAAATGCTTTGCTGCATACCTCGGTTGTAACGAGTGGTTATTTCAGTCACTGTTGCCCTTCTATCAGCTCGAACCAGTCTGGCCATTCTCCTCTGACCTCTGGCATCAACAAGGCATTTCGGCCCACAGAACTGCCGCTCACTGGATGTTTTTTCTTTTTCGGACCATTCTCTGTAAACCCTAGAGATGGTTGTGCATGAAAATCCCAGTAGATTAGCAGTTTCTGAAATACTCAGACCAGCCCTTCTGGCACCAACAATCATGCCACGTTCAAAGTCACTCAAATCAACTTTCTTCACCATACTGATGCTCGGTTTGAACTGCAGGAGATTGTCTTGACCATGTCTACATGCCTAAATGCACTGAGTTGCCGCCATGTGATTGGCTGCTTAGAAATTAAGTGTTAACGAGCAGTTGGACAGGTGTACCTAATAAAGTGGCCGGTGAGTGTATATTTATACATATTCAACAGCACATTAGTTTTGGCTGTAGTAATGAGAACTTTTTAATCTCTGTCTTTTGCAGGAACTTGAGGATGGTCTAGATGAGGCTTTCTCAAGGTTAGTAAAATTATATCTGAAATAATCTCTTACACTTTTACACCATAACACACTCTACAGAGTGAATTTTAATGGAGCTTACTGTAACTTTAGCACAGATGTGGAGTATAGGGCACAACTATTCCTGGCGCTCTATTATGTGACCACAGCGGTATTTGTGATGGGCGTGTTCAGCTCTGAGAATAAACTTTTTAGTTGGCCTTACATAATCCAGAATATTTTACATTTCATAGAAAAGAAAAATACATCTTGAGTCCACACAGAGGTGCAAAATATGTGTAACAAGTTCTCAATAGACTTTCACTGGTTGACGCCTCAATACTGCTCCTGGAAAGTAGAATGTCACAGTTAAATGATTGAGTTTCAGAAAATCCATGTTTGAAATTTTCTTTTAAATTAATAACAGTGCTTTGCTGAGCTTATGCATTAGAAGCAATAAGTACTGTATCAAAATTTCAATCTTTTTTATGGACATGGGGATAATACAGAATGAAGATTGCGCCCTCTGCCAAATTCGAGGCAGCCTTGCTTATGTTTGTATCAAATCTGATAATTGGGGATGATAATCAGTCTCTAATGGAATCCAAAGTTTGAATTTTTTTTTACTCTATCAATCTTTTTTATGAAAGCTTGAACGTGACATAATACAGAACAAGCCATCATACTGCATCCTCTGCCCAATTTGGGGTGGCCTTTCTCCGCCATGTTAAAGGTGGAATTAAATATAACAATAGGAGATGATACACAGTCCAACACACTATACAAAAATCACAATCTTAAACACTTTTAACTTTATATGTCTTTTTTATGGACCCTTGAACTTTGCATATGGCATAATATAGAATGAGCCACATTGCATCGTCTGCCAAGTTCAGGGTGGTGTTTCTCAGCCATGTTAAGAGCTACGCTAAATTTGATAATGGCGAATGGTACACAATCTAAACCTTTAACAAAATTAAAAAATTTAACTGTTTTTATTCAACCAGCCTTTTTTTATGGAGCTATGAATTTGACACATGCTTTGATATTGCCACATAATACAAGTCGTTTACTTGTAACCGTCTCTACACATAAGACATAAGATTCTATTTTAAAACGGGAAAATTACAAACTTCAGCATTAATTTAAAAATATTATGGAAAATTGGATCCCGCATAATAGGAGAATATGATTTTTTATTGGGATAAAATAGGCAAGTTCCTGCTTGCCTATACACACAAACCAGACATACAGTTGTGATGCTAAATTATTAGGTCATGTTTTGAATGACTATTATTTGCATACTTTGGCATCGTAATGACACTAATTAACAGTCAGTTTATTCTGTAAACCAAACAACAGCTGTTTAACGATTTGTAATGATGGTCATTATTCATCCAGACACAGAGTGCCGTTCCCGAGAGATTAGCCGACATGAGATGAGCTGTTTTACAGAAGCGGGGGTTCAGTCCATCGCCGCTCTGCGCTGATTATTTGTCGTGTGCAGTAATTAAAAGCGTTGGCTTTTAATCAAACTCAGTACTTCGTTAATCTCCATTTAACATGCTTTCACCCTGTAAGTGTGAGGAGAGACGCTGTAGATCTCTGACATGCGAGAACTTTTCCAATCAAGGATGAATTGAGGATAGAGTAAATCTCTGATTAAAGACTATTGAAGTGCTCTCCAGCAAAACCCAAAGCTGTTTTAGCTTTTTCTGATGGTTTATCATCCAAAACACAGAGGGCTGAGAGATATTATGGTCATAATCGGCCATTTATGTACACCACTGTATGCTTGATGCAAAAATAAAAATTGAATGACTACATCTGACTAATAGAAGATCTAAATGTCAGCCTGACCTCTTGGCCCAATAAAGAAACAAACTTTAAAGTTGCATTATTTGCAGTGTTGAGGTTAAGTAAAGTAGATAGTGCAGTATATTTTAAGATTGTGAATATACTATTATTTGTTATTTACTTAAATAAGAAAACCTTGAGTGGATAGTAATTGTTGTATTATAATTAATTTTGGATTCCTAAAGTTCCATGTATCATTCATTGTAATTTTTTAGTAATATTGTACTTTTGTCAGTTCGATTAGCTTTTAAATATTTCTATTTAGCTTTTATTTATTTTTATTTTAGTACTTCGACTTAATTGTGTCAGTTAGTTTCTAAAGTTTTTCATCTAATATTTATATATTATTTTGCTGAATTTAGAAAATATATATTTTAGTTAACAATAACAACACCGGTTATTCGCCAAAGTTTAATGCTTGGGAGTTTGTTCAAATCTTTAAGCCTAAGTGTGAGCAATAGTAGTCAAACACCACTAATATTGCTTAATGCCTTTAATTTTACACAGAAAGGGATCTTACAGTCGTTTATCTTTATGATCGAGAGGTCAACTTCAGTTGTTTTAATCAGTTCGCTGTAACTCTGACCTCAATTCCTCAACATTTGCCCGGCAGTAACCTTTGACCTCACTGGCTGCTCAATAAACTCCATCAGGAGGTCTAGGACATTTAAAGTCAAAATGGACAATTCCTTTTTTTAATGGAATATTTATTATGAATGATTTATCCATGTACATAATTTTTTTTTTAATTCATGTGTCCTCAAATAACTTCCCCTCCCTCTTGCAGCGACATCTTTTCTCTGATGACGTGTTTACTGGCGTGAGGGCGGGGCAACCTGTCACTCACATGAGATCCACCAATAGCAAACCAGAACCATGCAACTAATTTCCCATGGACAAAATCAAGTCCCGCCCCACATTTTTCTTGTCCGATAAGCCATTTCAATTGAATATATATGTCACAATAGGGAAGAAAAGACTTTCACAACTTCTGTTTCATGCAAAGTATTAAAATGTGGAAGTTCTATTGTGTAGACGACAGCAAACTGAGCCAGGGTTCATGCAAGACATGCTGACTAATCATGCCGCTCACATGGAGTCTGTGTTCTCACGCTAATGTTGTTTATTCCCCCTCAGCCGCAGTCTGGATAGTTTTGAGTCCAACACAGGTAAAAATGTCATTGGCCTGAGCTGTAGTGAAATCTGCTTGTGCTGTAGTCCTCATCCGTCACAATCCACTCTTTCACATCATCCACGACCGTGAACTACAGTAGTCCAGTTCTCCCATCTGTCCCGTGTCAGGCATGTTCCTCCTCATGGCTCAAAACCCTGTCCATTTCAAACACCTGTTCTATGGATATTGATGACTTCATGGCTGGGTTCTTTGCCAAGATTCGTAGAAATATCATCTTCATGTTTTCCTACTTCATCTTATGATCAGATGTCTTTTTCTCGCCACTGCCTTTTCGCAAAGTCTGTTACTATGGACCTCAGTCTGGGTAGACGCTGTAATAAATTATCATAAATTAACTTACTCTCATTATTTATCACCTTTATGTTATTATTTTATCGGTAGAACAACATACACTGCCAATCAAAAGTTTGACTTTTGTAAGATTTAAAAAAAAAAAATCAGCAGGGATGCATTAAATTGATCAAAAGTGACAACGATAGATTTATAATGTATAAAAAATTTATATTTGTTCTTTTGAACTTTCTATTCTTCAAAGAATTCTAAAAAATAAAAAAAGTATCACGGTTTGCACAAAAATATGAAGCAGCAAAACTGTTTTCAACATTGATAATAATCAGTAATGTTTATTGAGCAGCAAATCATCATATTTGAATGATTTCTGAAGTATCATGTGACACTGAAGACTGGAGTAATGATGCTGAAAATTCAGCTTTGATCACAGGAATAAATTACATTTTAAAATATATTACAATAGAAAACAGTTATTTGAAATTCTAATAATATTTCACAATATTACTGTTTTTACTGTATTTCTGATCAAATAAATGCAGCCTTGGGGAGCATGAGACTTGAAAACATAAAAGAAAAGGCGTCTACCTTGACTAAAGTGCATTGAGGCTGTGTGACAGAGTTACCGAAGTGATATTCCCACAGATGTTCCTGTTTTTTTTTAACTTTCTGCAGCCCAGTTTCATTCCAGGTCCTCAAAGGTTTGACTACTCATGATGTGACATTCATTCACAGAGTTCTGTCTCTATGTTTAGGGTAGTAAAGAACAAAAAGACAACTGGCATATTTTGTGCAACATATGAAATATTCTTGACCTCTGTCTAGGGATTGGAATCATAAGGAATGTAACGATTCTGTTTGCGATTCCAATTCCACTTTATGATTCCATTAGTGATTCCTTAGAGAAAGCTGATGTTCTAAAAGAACAATAGCTGTTTTATACTTGAAGTACTAACAAAACTCTGTTGTGAACGTGAATCTTTAACTGATTCAAACTAAGAACTCAAGGCTGATTTGAGTCTTTTTGACAGATTCATTACAAAGACTCGTAAAAGAATCCGTTCCCAAACCAGACTGGTCACTCTGTGTGGGCATTTCATCTTTTTATTTTCTATTATTTCACAGTGCCCAGTCTTTCTTTCTCATCTTATTAAATCATAAATAAAAATAACAAAAGAACTTGTTTCTGATTCCCAACCCTAAACACGAAGCACTTATGCTCACGCCATATTATTTTCGTATTATTTATATACTTTTTTAAATTTTTAGTATTCATTATTTAGCATTTATTTTCATTTTGGATTTTGTTTTTAGTTTGTTTTATTGATTTTGTTGTGATTTGTCATTTGTATTTAATCTTTACAAATATTTTTATTTAGCTTTAATTTTATTTTGAGTTTTAAGTTTAGTGATTTTAGTACTTCAATTTAAACTTATTTTAATTCAGTTAGTTGCCAAAGCAACATTTCTAATTTTCATAATTCATTTTTTTCAAGTTTAAAGGGATAGTTCACCTAAATTGTTTTAATTCTGTCATTAATTACCCACCCTCATGTCGTTCCAAACCCCGTAAGACTTGCATTCATCTTCGGAACAGATATTTTTAATGAAATCTGAGAGCTTTCTGTCCCTCCATTGACAGCTAAGGAACTACCACTTTCAACAAGCCCCAGAAAGGCAGTAAAGACATCATTAAAGTAATCCATGTGACTGCAGTGGTTTAACTTTAATTTTTTGAAGTGACGCGAGTACTTTGTTTGCAAAAAACTAACATATTTTAACGCTTTATGTACAAAATATTCATCTTCTCCAATGCACATTCACTCAACAACGTCTGCTCTCGCGTCAACACATCACGCATGCGTCGTGGTGCTCTCGTGAACGTGCGTTGTCTATGTTTGAAACTCGCAGCATTATTCAATGTGTTGACGTAATTTCCACTGAAACAGGAAGACAGGATGGGACCACTGATCTAATGACATTATATAGATCAGTGGATCGGACATATATCATTCTGTGCAGTATTCAAAATGGTCCGATACGTTTTCTAGTCTGCTGCGACTCGAGCTTAAATGATCCGCTCAGTGCTGTCGTGTCTCTGGACCGGAGGTAACGTGAAACCAGACTTCATTCACCCCAATGGAAAGCATATTTACTCCCTATTTACATTCCCTATCCCCTATATAGTGCACTGTGTGCCATTCACCATGAAGAAAATAGTTAATTGTGTGAACAAGTGACCAATTTCAGGCACAGTTTCAGTCTCAATTTATAATGTAAGAGGTGGAGCTTCAGATAGAGAGCATTTAATTGGACAGAAAATTTGATGAGAAACTGAATTGCAGAGTGATGTCATCAAAATCGTTGATCCCACTGAGAGACTGTAAGTTTTGAACGCTTATATCTTCTAATTGCGAATTTGTTATTGTTTTGGAGCACACTAGCTTATAGATAACAACAGTAAGGCTTCATAGAAACATTCACACAAAAAGCTAAAAAAAAAACTTATTTTTATTTCATGGGGACTTCAATATTTTGTAAAAAAAAAAAGCGCTATTTTTTTATGCGCAATAAACAACAACACTCGCATCACTTCATAAAATTGAGGTTAAACCACTGGAGTCACATGGATTGCTTCAAGTAGGCTATATCTTTGTGATGTTGTGTTAATGTGACCTAATCCTTTAAGTTTTTCATTTAATGTTTATTTTTTGATCTCAGCTTTATTTAAAATTTCAACGAAAACTAATATTTTTAGTTTTATAAAATCTTATTTATTATGACATGAGAGACTACAAATTAGGCTAAACGCTATTTTATATGGCTCTTTAAATAACGAGGAACTCCAGATCAGGGAGAAATTTGCCATGCATATTTAAAGTGTTGTTTCTGTTTTGCATATGTTTTCCCTCATCTCTACAGCTCCTAACACGATCTGATCTGCACCGCTACTGATGTTTGCTGGCTGCCTTGTGTTTTCGTTTTGATTCTGTGACTGTCTCTCACGCGTTTCTGTCTGTGTGTTTTCCCCCAAGACTCGCTGAGTCTCGCACTAACCCCCAGGTGCTGGACATTGGGGTAAACCCTCAGGACTTCAACCCTGAAGAGTGCTTGTCGCCTAGCAACTGGGACAAAGCCGAAGCCGAGGACGCGTTCGGATTCTGATCGACGCTTCGCGAGAGGAACGAGCTGATGGAACGTCACAAAGGGATCGAGCTCGCGGCAGCTCGTCACACTGGCGCCCCCTGGTGGCCGTCACTGATACCGCGTTTCAGTTTGACATACTGAACTTCAACAAAAGCACAGACCAAAGCAATACAGTATAAACACTTTTTTTTATTTCCCCCAAATTATTTTAAGTACATTTATATTTTCTGTTACTTCCTATAAGTTAACTTTTATTTTCTTTATTTTTTTTATGTATGTGTACGAATATAAAGATTATGTATATGACAATAACACTGTAAAAAGTGTTCAGTTCACTTACCTAAAAAAATTTGAGTAAACCTGTTGCCTTACAATTATTATGTAAATAAACGTAATGCTTAATTGAAAAAATTAAGTTATGTGAATTTGACAATTCCACATTACTTAATTTTTTTGATTAAGCATGAAGTTTATTTACTTAATTTTAAGGCAACTGTTTCCTCATTTTAAGTTAAGTCAACTGATCACTTTTTACAGTGAACTATCATATTTTGTCTATTATTATTATTAATATTTTAGTGGATTTGATTGCTGAGGCTAGCTTCGCGATTCTATGCAGTCGAATGTCAGAATATAAATTGTAATTTATATGCATACTAAAGAGTTAAATGTCATGATTGAGGTTTGTTTGGAGTGGGATTGTTTTTTTAATGTTCTGAAGTGTTGAAGCTTTTGTGTATGCAAGTTGTCTGCCCTCATACAAAAACAAGATTAATGAAAAAATTACTAAACGAACGTTACAGCATACAAATAAGAGAAGGCAGGGTATTTATATGAGACAATTTTATCTTTTTCTATGAAAATGTATTTTTGCACTTCTCTCTGCGTCTATTTCAAAACCTCATCATTTAATTTCTGCTTATGCCTTTTGAAACATATGCCTGCTATTGGTTATTCTTCATTAGGTTATCCTTACTACCCAATAAAATACTGTGGAAGTGTCAGACTGTAATATCATGCTATTATAAAGACTTTGAAGAAAATCATGGTATTATCATCATGGTACTGTCTAAATAAAGCAAAATTTGATTTATGTGTTGTGTTTTTTTTAACGGAAACACCAATTTTGTAACATTACATGTATTCCTCTGCCCAAAACATTTACCTGAATTTGTTTAAGACAAGTACAGCAATATACTATTTTCTCATCAACTTAAACTTGCTTATGTTGAAATATAAACATCCTAAATGAGCAACAAACTGATATTTAACTTTGTGGATTTGATTGATTGAGAGAAAAATGCAGTCGGTTCTTTTATGGTTTACATTGATGCTTGTCTTTGTATTTAGTCTTCATAAGGGGAAATTATAACGCCTCAGTCTTAGTTTCTGTTTGCATTAATCATTTGATGTTCATTAATTAAAACTGATAAAAGTGCTTTGTGTTGATTACTGTTTTGAGATAATGACTCCCTCTAGTGGTGACACTAATGCAGTGCTGTTATGTTGTGGACCTTAAACGGTAGAGAGGTAATTAATACGAGTCCAAGTAATTATTTTTAAATAATGGTTTCAATTCAGTTGCTAATAAAGTTGGCCATTAGTTCAAAGAGGGTGTCGTCACATAGTTTTCACGATCCGTTTATTAATGTTCATAACAGATTGTATTTGATGGAGCACCAATCACTTCATAACTAATGTTATATATATATATATATATATATATATATATATTAAATTCGTCTCTGCACTTGGGATAGAACCATAGACTGTCTGTAAGGATATGGGACGAACGCAAGATTTAAAAAAATAAAATAAAATGACAACCCACTTTCAAGCGAAGCACTAATTTACCATCGTCTGCCTTTCAGCCAATCACTGACCGACCTTTGCGTTACGTCATTAATATTCATGAGTTCCACGTTTTCACCACCAGTAGGATTAATAAATTCAGATTATTGAATTTTATTTATATTTTATAAGGTTAATTATCTTCACTTATGTATATATGTATACTATTTTGAATATTGTGAAAGTGAATACTTTCAGCCAATCATTAGGAGTAACGGACTGATCCACGTAATTAACATTCATGAGTTCCACGTTTTCACTAGTAGGATTAATAAATTCTAATTATTATATATTTTTATATTTATATATATGTGTGTATATTATAAGGTACATTTTCTTCACTTGTATATATTTATATACTATTTTGAATAATGTGAAAGTGAGTAAAATTCAAAAAATCAAAAATCACATGCTTGGGTTTCCAACCAATCATAAGACGAAGTGCGGCTGAGAGGTTATAAATATCAGGTGTAACCGCGCTGTGCAAAGTTGATGATGGATGAAACTCAACGGCAGACTAAATAACAATTTCCAAAACAGAAGCTCTATCGACAGGTACAATTTTAAACTTGTAATCCACACTTAATTAGTTAACTCTCAAGTAGTATTTGAGTGTTTTAACAACTTATACCATGCGCGTGGCACACATTTCGCCCAAAGCAATATTTTTTAAAAAACGATGATCGTTTGCTTTCAAGTCTCGTCTCGTGCACATATCTATTAGAATCAATTAGTTTCAAACTAGAGTCAATGTCGTGAACATCTGTTTGACGTGATGCATTTCTTTGTTTGCATAAATAGGGAATATTAAATATGCATCAAAACGACGAATTTGAATTGTGACTCCATGAAGTCAAAATGGACATTCGTCTAATCTACTAATAATAAACATTATTCTTTCTTAGGTTCATACAATTTCCTGCTTTGATAAAACTGACCAGACAGCACTTCTTCCTCTTCCAATCTTGAATAATAACAATGTTTAATGGAGATTCCCCCTTTCACTTAAAACCACTATCTGTATATTCACATTTGGTGTGCTCTAAGCAGCAGTACAATGGCAACAGCCCTGTTTACAACATACAAGTACACATTTCAAATAATGAATCCAGAGCACAGAAGAGACGCCTTGATTCAAGTCTTGATGAGATCTGTGAGACCCCCCTAAAAAGGCAGCGCATCACTAGAACATGCTCCCAAGATCTTGGATATTGTTCCTTGGACTTCCAGTCCGGATCGCAGGGATCCACACCTCTACAGCCACTAATAATCAGAAAGGACATCACACCACCTCGGTCAAAGGTCAATCAATCTGTGACCCCTGTAATGTCCACCCCTCTGTCCAAATGCAAACAGAACCATACAGATATAGACCGGGAGAGTCTTCCCTCCCCGATACCAGTTCTGAAATGGGACAGAGAGGTTTTGTCTGCAGAGTTAAAACTGTGTGCGTTCCTGAACTTCGATGCTTGCAGTTCTGTTCCTTTTGTTGGCTCTCAGGGAACTGGGAAGGGTGAGATCAGTGAGGTATACAGTGAGGTTCACGAATCAAAGTCTCAAAGCACGGCCCCAGAATCAGCTGTTCCATTGAAAGAGGAAGAAGAGCTGTTGTCGGTCAGTCAGCAGGCGAAGCCCGAGGCATCATCGGACAGTGGGCGAAATGAAGAAAGTGCCTCAGATACGTTTGAAAGCACGCTGCCCCTTCAGGTCCAGGTTTGAGCTCCATCTTTTATACATTTGCAGCATTGTCACTGGTTTCTGTCATTATTTACTGTCACTAATGTTGTTTCAGACCTTTTATTTCGCCTGTTATGGAACATGAAAAGAGAATATTTGAGCAATCTTAAAGCAGCTTTTTTCAATGACAGTTCATATTAAGGAAAGCTAAACAAACCCTTACAACTTAATAAGGTTTCATTAGTTAAATTAGTAACGTGAACTAGCAATAAAAATACTTTATTGGTGTTAATTTCAACATTTACTAATACATTATTAAAATCAAACGTTTTTTGTCAATATTAGTTAATGGATCTGAGCTAACATGAACAGTTATATTTTTATTAAATAATGGTATAAAATCTGAATAAATACTGTAGCAATTGTATTGCTCATTGTTAATGTTATCTAATGCATTAACTAAAAGTACATTATTGTAACGTGTTTACCAAATATACCATATTCTTATGAAGTTTATGTGAGGAACAGACCAAATTTAAATCAGCAGTATTCACAGAGTCTTTCCCTCAGCGGCAACTCTCAAATCTCATTTAGAAATATACATACTCATATTCAAAGTCAACTCACATTGATGGATATAGCGCTTTATACAATACAGATTATTTCAAAGCAGCTTCACAGTAATAAACAAGAAAATAACACTAATAGAGCAAAGTTCTTCAATTATGAAATAGTTTCAACTCTAAAAAGACAATAGTATAATTATTAATCTCAATTTAGTTCGTTGTTGATTCCATTTAGTTCTATAAAAACATGTCAGAGTTGCAATCAAGTACTCGAAAGGGAATACTGACAAAAATGCCCATCTCTAGTCATTATAAACTCTCGTTGTATGCAAAAGAGCTGCGTAAAGTATTTTTAGAGAGTATAAAAGAGTGACAGAATTGCCATGAACAGATGTTACTCATCAGCAATGTGTTCTCCTACTTTCCCAACTGCTTTTTTGCCCGCTGAGCAGGTGAAGTCTAAAGTTGTGGTTCCGGACAACACAAAGACCACCTGCAAACCAGTGGTGTTGTATAGTGAAGAGGAGTGGGAGAGAAACAAGAGAACATATGTGGACTCGGTGAAGAGACACATGAAAGAGCAGAACGGAGCAGCAAACGGTATCACGCTTTAACAAACTATCATACATTTCTGTTTTTCCAGGTGTGTACCAAACCTGTAGAAATAATAGAGTGCTGCAGGAATGATGTTTTTTTGTAGGCAAAAACCTGGACACGTTAGCATTTTGTTTCCATCATCCGAAAGTCAATGAATGGATTTTTTTGTTAAATGCATGAAATAAGGTATGTGGTTACTTGTTGACAGCCTTGTCGTGTTTACACTCACACTCTTGCAAACTATTCTAACTCAAAAATTTAAGTAATTAAGATTGAAATAGTTTTTGGAAGCTTAATGTTGGTGACGTTGAAGCCATGCGACCGTGCTGTAATTCGTTTATACGTAGCTTAACTTTAGCTTTTTACTTGTGGTAATTTGTATTTAGGCTTTAACATTCACAAACGTTGTCTGTGTTCACACTTTGAGAAGTCAGACTACTAAAGATCACTTTTTCTCTTCATATCAGACTAGGTTGAGAAGTGTTTTGATATTACAGCAGAATGCTTTCCACTGCACAAACATGAATGTGATATGAAGGATGCTGTTGATTAGTGTGGTGACATGTGTGTGTTGGCAGGTGCGATCACTGAGCTTCATTCTTTGATGAACTCCATCGCCAATCGGAAAACTGGAAGGAACGACCCACACTGGCAACACCCTTCAGATCTCACTCGCAAGTAAATGTCACAAAACCTGTCACGAACATGTTACATCCCAAAATCAAAAGAAGTTATGTTTTGAAAATAGAAAATGCAGCCTCTTTGAAATTTGAAATAAATAAATGTAATAGGAAAATAAATAAAGGAATAAATGACTTGATCAAACAAATACAATAAAATAATTTATTATATTTAGTTCTAACTAAATGTATTTTATTACTTTTTAGAACTTTCTATATTTATTTGTATTTATAACTCTTTTTTTTATTCTTTATACTTTATCTTTAACATAAGACAACTGAGAACACAAACAAAATGCCCCCAAAAAGAAAATCCTATTCTGCAGATTACAAACTGCAAGTAGTAAAATATGCAGGCGAAAACGGTAATCGAGCAGCAGAAAGAAAGTTTGGAGTGAGAAACTTGTGAGGGACTGGCGAAAAGCTGAGGTTACTCTATAGGGGGTCGCACACTGGACGAGAAGCACAGCGCCACAGAGTGCCATTTACATAGTTTTATATTACATTTTAATTTATTTATCTCAAATCGTTGTTAACGTATATACTGACTTCACCCTGTGCTGCAATATACATTTAGTTTTACATATATTTACAGAAATCAGCTGCTTGAATGAAAATTGCTGATGTTATCGGATTTTCAGGTGATTTTCTCAATTCATTCAGTTAAAGGGATAGTTCACTTTGAAATTAATTTTTGGTATGTTTTAGCTTAGGGACCGTTCGGTAATTATGGAAAGGGCCACCGGAGGAAAATAGGGGAGGATCATGTCTTTTTATTCTTTGTTCAGGGGAGGGTCACCCAACTTTTGTATTCATCAAAACAGCAAAATTTCAAAGTTGCTTGTTTGGTGCATATTTTTTCCATGTAGCTATAGCTCTCTCGGTCTCGGCCCCCCATCACTATCAGATGGGTCTGACCCAACAAAAATCCAGTTTGGCGCTGTTTGACAGTACGCGCTCAGAAAAAGTGCTTTAGAACAGAACGCCAATGAAATGTTTACCCGGCAAAGCTTTAAAGCACGAGCAAATAATGAACTTTTGTGATTGCGAATAAGTGCAGTGTCCTGTGAGTGCTAGTCTACCGCTGCATTAACATGTGATGTGAATGTACGTCAAGTTTTACAGTATTGGGACTGGGGCGCCAGAACTGCAGCTGATATAATGTGCGCTCTAGCACGATACTACCATATTTTAGTTTCAATTCTTATTGTGTTTCAACAACAATGTTAGTGAGTAAATCTACTGAAATTGCCACCATAACAGTGGAGTGTGATGTGTTAGGCATAGGGCTACCACATTTTTAAATTACTATTAGTATTATTTGAAGTTAACATAATAAAATACAGACCTACACTATAAAACTAGTTGAGGATAAATTCTTTAAAATTGGGCAATTCCAGCGTCATACGTAACATTTGCAGTCAAAACTTGAAATATAAATTCTCAGAAAATGCATTTAATACTGAAACGTCTTTTTATATATTCATACTCCCTTAAGGCGGGCTTACACGGTGCGATTTTTTGGCTGTTTTACGAACTCGCAGATGATTTTTTTCTCTCGGGAGAAATTGCGTGGAAATCGGTTGTGCCTGTGCTCGCATGCGGCTCGTGTCGTGTGCTAGGAAGATACGAGTCGAGCCGAACCTCTCGACCTCACGATAATTTTTAAACATGTCTAAAAAGTTTGGGAGCTGTAGGCTTGAATTCGTGAGGTGTGTGCGCTAGTGATGCCCGGGTCGGCTTTTTTTCCAACCCGCGGGTCCCTCTTTTATGAAATATTTGGCCCGCCCCAGCCCGCACCGCACCACTTGTATCTATTTTTACAACCCGCCCCGCACCTGCGACCGTTAAATAGACATACTACTAGGCATTGTAATGTAAATGAAAACAGCCTTTATTTCAGCCTGAAAGTGCTTGGAAACATCGCCCTGTAAACTGGCAACAAGAGACGATTATGAATATGAATCATAAATCAGGTCATATTAATAAGATACTAATAAACATTTTCAACATTTACAAAGCAGCGTTTGTATTCATCTAATAGGCTAAACCATTTTTTATTTCTTAGACCCCCCACAAATATGTCTTGACATGATGGAAGTGCCCGTTTTGTGGCGCTACTGTTTGTATATTTTTCACACGAGTTGCACTTCAGGTAGCCGATCTAGCTAACGTTACTGTTGTCTCCTGCTGCAACTATTTCTGAGAACAGCTCCCAAACATTAGATTTAGCAGCCTAACCTTATTTTTCTTTTCAATTTAATCAGGTAAATTCCCGACCTCAATTTCTCCCGCACCTCGTCTTCCATCTTCACTTTGATTTATTTCTCCGTTGTTGTCGTGGCTGGCGACGGGAGCTGCGGAGCTGCTTGGCGCGCCGCTTTCGTGACGTGTCACGTGACGCCAAAGGTTTATGGACCTCACGCAAGTTGCTATACGGCATTTGTATTGTAACCTTATCAAATAACCTAATAAAATACGAAAATAGATATTCCCAAATATTTAATAGGCTGGAAATTGCAACCAACATGCATCGATTAAAAAAAAACAATAATAATGACCCGCCCCGCAAATAAAGTGACATTTCTTTACCCGCCCCAACCCGACCTGCGGGTTACCCGCGGGGTCCGCGGGTTACGAGTCGGCCCGCGCATCACTAGTGTGCGCTGTGCGGTTAAATGAGCCGATGTGTCCATCTATCTGAATTTGACCAATCAGGAGCTGAAGAAATCCACAGAAGAAAGACGAAAATGGCAGCGCCACTGGAATTTGGACTATTGAAAGGGAAGCCTACTACTTTATTATGATTTTAGTATCATAATGATTAATAAATGCATGCACAATTATCAGTGAACTTGATAAATGTTGCAGATATGTTTTACTATGCACAAACAAATGCCTTTCAACTTGTGTGCATAATTCTGAATTAAATGAATGTGCAGCTATTTGTACAAATAGAGTCTGTATATGTGTTGTAGCCATAATAAGCGCATTTAGTTTCATATTTATTATAATGTTTTTTTTCCTTCTATGTTGATTATGAAAAGTATAGCCTATACGCAATATATCGGGAGACATGGCCAGACATGATTTTGACCACTTCATTAAGTGTTGTTTTGTAGAAAGCCTTTCTTTAAAGTGAATTTCGTTTTGTATAAATTGTATCTTAATTTTAATAAATTTTTCATCAACCAATTGCCTGGATTTAATTAATAAGAAGCAAATATAGCTGGATTTACAAATGCAGATCTTGAATTGTTGCATGCACACATATGTCGAAATAATGACATAGCCACAACAACCATCGATCGAATTGTCCTGGTTTGAGACTGTTAATACACATAACACAAAATATTCTTTTTATTTTTTCGTGTTCGCATTTATGAGGAAAAAAACAATGTTATGGACGTGACAGTTCTCCATTACGGACATGACCGCTCTGAAAGTGACTGAAACTTTCACAGAGACCTCAAAGAAACAAGCACAAAGCCTTTCTTAAAAGTAAATTTCGTTTTTTATTAATTGTATCTTAATTTTAATCAATGTTTCATCAACCAATTGCCTGGATTTAATCAATTAGAACTTAGTAAATATAGTAGAAAATCATCATGACACGGAGGCACCGTGACCTGGACTCTGGTCTAATAAATGAACCGATACACACAGCTTATAGCCTAAGGTAGGCTACTTGCCTCGCAGACCTGATAAATATATAGAAAACTTGACATGACTACTTTTTAACAGAACAATTCAAAACGAAAGAAAACAGACTCTGCTTATGTAATCCGTATGAAATGTGCATTTCTCTCTGGCGCGTTCACTATTGCGAAGATCGGGAGTCAGCATCGTCACCTTTATATTTGCAGCCGACATTGACAAAGACTTGTTTATTAATAAACAATTAAAATGTCCGCTTGCTATATTATTCATAATCATAATCTTTTGCCGGTTCTTTGTGGCAGCTTTAAGATACTTTATTGGCAGCGCCACCTTTACATTTTACATGAACGCGTCACCATCAGCACCGAAAACATTTTATTTTTTTATTTTTTTCAAATCAAAAATCGTGATACGAACCGAATTGTAGGTTTGGTCTATTGTTACAGCCCTAGCAAGATGAGAAAGCAGGAGTTTAGTCGTTTATCATGGAATGGCTATCTGAACATCTTTGCCAAGCGCAAACCAGTACAGAAGTAATCAATAAATTATCGGGGAGGGTCATGCCTTTTTTCACAATCATTTTGGAGGGTCATAGAAAAAATTATTGCTGGCGAAGGGAGGGTCAAGTCTTTTTTTGACTACAGATCTCAAATCTCCTCCGGTGGCCCCTTAAATAAATAACGAACAGTCCCTTACCTCAAGGGCATCCAAGATGTAGGTGTCTTTGTTTCCGCAGTAGTTTCAATTTTGATATTTTTAGGTCAAACCGTTCTTGTCTGTCAGTCATATAATGCAGGTCTATGGTCACCACCTCAAAGAGCATGCACAGAGAAGTCCAAATTAAACATGATTTAATGACTCGTAAATGTAAGTACACATTGATGGCCTAAGACACGAAACGAGCGGTTTGTGTGAGAAAACGAACAGTATTTATATCGTTTTTACCTCTTGTAACCACAGCCACGTCCAAGTGATCTGAGGGCGCGGGCGCTTCGGTCTGCGCAAGCGCCGGTAAGCCCCGGAATGTTGTCTGTTGATATATCGAAATCGTCTTCCATTGTGATTTCCTGTATATCTAAATATGTTTAGATCTTCACAGTGAAAGGTAAAACTTCCGAAATCTCTGTATAAACAATGAGTGACGTACACGTGCGAGAGATCACTTCTGGGGCTTACCGGCGCTTGCGCAGACCGAAGCGCCCGCGACCTCAGATCACTTGGACGTGGCTGTGTTTACAAGAGGTAAAAACGATATAAATACTGTTCGTTTTCTCACACAAACCGCTTGTTTCGTGTCTTAGGCCATTAATGTGTACTTACATTTACGAGTCATTAAATCATGTTTAATTTGGACTTCTCTGTGTATGCTCTTTGAGGTGGTGACCATAGACCTGCATTATATGACTGACAGACAAGAACGGTTTGACCTAAAAATATCAAAATTGAAACTACTGTGGAAACAAAGACACCTACATCTTGAATGCCCTTGAGGTAAGCTAAAACATATCAAAAATGTATTTCAAAGTGAACTATCCCTTTAACGGACGCTCTGAGGGAAAGTGTTCAGACTCAGCAACGATTGTAATTAATTGTACAGTAGAATCATAACGTAGTACAGACATGATCTTAATTGCATAATGTCCTTAAACTACAATATTGCTGGCCATAAATGGAGAATGTGCGCGTCCGGTGTGCGATACTTTGAGTTGTCCTTCGAGCTGCTCTTCTCGTCCGGTGTGCGACCCCCTTAACTGTAATAAAGAAAACAAAGAAAGCTAATCGCGGGCTGAAAGCAAGATGGCCAGAGCTGGAGGAATGAGTCCACAGATGGGTGCTTGAACAACAAATAAATAAATGCGACTTATAGTCCAGTGTGATTTATAAATGTTTTTTTCCTCTTCATGACGCATTTTTGGACTGATGCGACTTATACTCCGGGGCGACTTACTCCGCGGTATTGTATGTTTAGCTTCTTGATTTAGTCTTTGTAGCCAGATTTCATTTCTTATATAGTCTTACCAACATATTCTTGCCAAGTAGTGGCCACTTAGACAGGAAGAGACCATCTGATGTAAAGCGACCAGCCTCAGTTCATTTTGTTTTTGTCTATTAATGCAGTCCCTCCACTAGGGGGAGCCTTCAAACTCTGATAAAATGTGCAACCAGAGGCTGTTCTGTTTGAATGGAAATCAATAGAGAAGCGCCGTATTTCATTTTTGTCAGGAATGAAAATGCGGCTGTGATTTATATAGAAATATCATAAAAACGTTTATCATAGAAGTTTATAGTTAAAGCAATCAAGGGATCATGGAAATGAGTGTAAACTTTGTGATTAGAATTTCTGTCCATCCATGACTAATAATTTGCAGGGAATATCTCACAGAAAAAAAATCAAAGCAGCAGCATATACAGTTCAGCTTATGAATATTTAGTTGTGTTGGTGGAGTGAAACCTGCAGTTTCCCAATTCTACAGTCTTCCTTCAGTCATTGTGTTGTTTTTTTTCTTCTCCATTTGTTTGTAGGAATTTCTGTAAGTCGCGTCTCAAAGGTCCATCGGTCTCCCTTGACGAGTGGCAGAAAAGAAACCTTCTTGCCTATCGGCGCTTTGTTAATGTGCCAGACATTTTCCACAGAAGCCCAGTGCTGTGATTTATTTATTTGTTTTTATTGTTATATATATTTGTTGTCAATTCATATATTTACTCTTTGTCATTGTTATAAAGGTGAGGATCATTGGTTCATGCTGCTGGTTAGTTGCTCACTGAGAAGTCTGATCTGCTTTTGTGTGTTTATTTGTGATTTCACAGTGTGTAGTGTGTGCTTGTACTGCATGTTTCATCTGGTGTTGGGCTAATTATCTATCTATCTATATATATATATATATATTTTGATATAAGTGTGTGTGTGTGTTAATTTGCATGATCTGTATTCTCAGTTGTTTAAACCTTTACCTCAACCAGCGCTTATTCACCTTGCTATTTACAGCTAATATAGTTTTAGTTTCAATAGCTAGACAAATTTGTCTAATTTACTAAAGCTGAATGTTTGGTTCGTTTCCTTTCCCCTCCTTGTACAGTACATTCAATTATGGTTGTACATAATTCATTTTGCTTTGTCTGAGGAAAACTTTTCTTTAGCTTTTCTGTGAATTGCAATTCCATTTTTTAGCATTAAATGCATATAAATGGGCACATAGATCAAAGATTTTATATTTTGTAAGCAGGAAAATGTCCTTCCTTAGAGAAACAATGTTCGACTGAATGTTGTGATCTTTCGATTGGTTTTGTTCATTTGTTACATTGCTTACAGTTTTATAACCTTTATACATTTAAATAAAAAAAAATTTACTTTATTCATCTGTCTCTCTCTCTTAGCATTATTCCTGCTCATTTGCAGGGTCCACTTTACACACTTTAAATCAAATTTACTTTATTCAAATATGTCAACACTGGTAAATGTAAAATATAAATCTAATCTATAAATCAATGCTTCTGATAGTCAATGACATGATCATTTAAATGTATTGTGAATTTTGGTCCTTTTTGTTCTTAAAGTTACTTGATAAACATTCAGAAATGTCTGACTTACAATTTATTTTTAAAAACTCAGTTATGCAAACTATTTATCAACAGAACTGTTCACAATACAAGTTTAGCTTTTTGTTGTTTTTTCTTTGGTTTCTATTCCGCTTCCTGTACAGGTCATAAGTAAAAATGACCGTAATGTAAAAGAAATGGAAATAAAATGTGTGGGAATGTCAAAAATATCACTTCCCGTTTGTTTTCAGTCTGCCATTACAAACAAGTAAATCTGTACATGCGCCATACAGCATTCATTGGGAAAAGGCATGTTTCTGCTTTGAAAAACACTCCATCTGGCATCAACAATCATTCCAATAAAGTAGTCCAAATTTGTACACTGAAAAATGTATATTATAAATCAAAAAATTATTTTCTATTAAGTTGTGTGTGGTGTAGCCTGAGGAATGTCCAAAATAGCCCTTTTTTTTTTTTTACATTTATACATATAAAATATAACTAAGCCATGCAAACACATATGTTGTAATAAATAAACAAACAAACATTCATTCATTAGCCATTCACTATTCATATATATGTATATAAATATACATGTTGATACATTACTTGCCTTTTACTTTTAGAGATTAACTATAGTCTGTTGATTTTGCTGTTGATTTATGAACCAAACTGGTTGGTAAGAAAGGGGGCATTTTACCCACCGCTGGGGCAAAACGCCCCCTTTGTACAAAAATATTTTCAGTCAAAATACTAATTAATTATGAAGGCTGAGCAATTTTAATATTTGGTGAATAACGCCTGCCATAGTCACTCAAAACTGGGATGGCAATATAATTCTAGTCACATTTATGTTTTGTTTAACAGTAATGTCACAAGGGTTTTCCCCCACTCAACCCCAGAGCTTCTCAGTGGTTATAGTCCCGCCCGAATGTGCCATCTCAGTAATCATTACAGACAATGTAGGTAAAGATTACAGCGACCTTTACCTTCTGTAAAAAGGTCCGGGGGACCTCAGGTAAAAAAATAAATAAAAATCAGCGTTTTTTTTAAGTATGGAGGCGCTTGAAAAAGCATTCATTTGGGATCTAGGCGGTGGGACCATAGACAGTAAGTAAACATAGACCATAGACAAGTCTGTGGCAAAACTCAAGTTTTTTCCCACATAGCCTACCATTCAGATAAAAAAGAAGGCCGAAAGCACTTGTCCGAGGCACGAAACGTCTTTTAGCTTTAGGTAAGTGCCTTCCAACAGAATCCAATCAGAATTGAATTAATTGAATTGATAAATCGTTCGACCTGACCTAACCGTTATTTATAGTTTATATTATGTTTGTGCAAGTGATATCAGGAAGCAACCTAATATGGACATGACAACAGGGAGGTGATGGTGGTAAGTAAATCGAGTTAACGTTATCCCTCCCACTTCAGCTAGTTTTACTGTCATTTCTTATCCCGTGCTAATTGGCCATTACATATTATGCCCCTTTACACAAGATGTAATATAAATCTATGGTGTTCCCAGAATGTGTCTGTGAAATTTCAGCTCAAAATACCCCCTTTTTGGGTGTGAGAAAAAACGCGCCCGTTTTTGTGTGTGTCCCTTTAAATGCAAATGAGCTGCTGCTCCCAGGCCGATCCTTTACTCGAGTTACAACAACAAATCACGCGAATCTCACTCATCCAGAATCTCAGAGATAACCAGTAGCGGAGTGCAGGAGACACTCAGGAAGAGGTAGTAACTTTTAGACGCACCTGGGGTCTCATTTATAAAGCGTGCATACGCACAAAACGGTGCTGGAAACGTACGTACGCCAGTTTCCACGCAAAGGTTGTGATCTATAAAAAACAAACTTGACGGGAGAATGTGCGCACCTTTAAGCAAACTTTGAGCCGTGCGTACGCACGTTTTGGAGACGGAGCAGTTTGGCGACACCGATGGTGAGCTGGAGCTAAATGTCTTTTTGGTCACTTTTAGACCGACATTCTAAAGAAAATTATACATACAGTATACAGAAAGATAATACAAATATAATTTCACTCACCAAGCCTATCACATGAAGCAAACATCCATCCCTTTTTAAACATCCATCCCTTTGTTCTTTAGTGAAACTGACGCAGCCTATCTAAAACCGTAAATCTTCATTATAATCATAAATACAGTGTTCTGTGAAATATGTTCACAATAACAGTTTAAATAAATAAAACTATGTTTTACTTCTGATATAAACATTTAGATTAAATATGCCATTCTGATGAATGGAGTTAGACACTTAAATTACATGAAATCATTACTGAGAAGTTACAAAAAAAAATTATATTCAATAAATAGAAATATTTGTTGTGGATGCAATGCTTTCAAACACTTTTCCTCTGGCATGCTGTGTTTTAATGTTTTAACTACAGAGATAATTGCTTATCATGATAATAGCAGATTGTCTGAGAAAATAGTTTCGTGCAAATAATGCACTACAAGGTCTATCTGTTTCCATTAAAAATATAAATCAATTAAACTTTGGCCAGTGGAAAAGATTGAGAAAAAATTTCTCTGAAATGTATTTTACACTATTTGATTTATTTATTCAAAAACAAGGCAAGGATATAGACTACTAAATTATTTTTTATTAATGTAACGGCACATCCGTATTTCATATTTTCCAAATGTCTTGTAGCCTACCGTTAAACATGTTATCACGTGGATGAATAATCATATGCAAATGACATGCAGATGAGGTTATGCATAGTAAAACTAGGTGTTGTAAGCTCCATATATGGTTATTTCGGGGTGGAGACGCATGTGCGCACAATGTTCCGCTGACTGGGATTTATAAAGTGAATTCTGCGCAGGTTCTGGCGTACGCACGGTTTTATAAGTCAGAAAATTTGTTTGCGTACGCCATTTTTGGCTTTCGGACGCACGTACACTTTGAGTAAGGATTCTACGCACAGTTTTATAAATGAGACCCCTGGACGTTTCTGAATGGTTAGTGGATACATGTACTCTGTAGGCTAGTTGATGTATTGTAGAGTTACATTGATTCATCCTTTTCTGGGGGATTTCCATTGAAAATAAAATTAATCCACTGCTCTCTTGTCTAATCTGAGACTGGGATTCTAAATAGTAGTCAGTGCTCGTCTGTGCAGCAACGACGGAACAGTTTGCGGCTTAGCTCGAACTTTTGCCATTGCGTTAGGTTAGAACTGGTTACACTGTTGTCGCTTGCGATTGCGAAAACCAAATCTATATTATAGATCCCCTTCCTACCTCAGAAGAGGAGCGAAATCTAATCGGCTTATTTTTGGACATGCTTGCAGAGAAAGGCTTATCAAAAAAAAATGATTGGGTTGTCACCTTTTCACGTTTTCTGGGTTGGTAGATGCACCAGGGCCCGATTATAGCACTTAAACACAGAAAAAGTCAGATTTTCATGATTTGTCACCTTTAATATTACAGACGTCCTGTGATAAAATCACATTACTCCATCTACCCTTGCAAAACTAATCCCGTCCAAAATAGGGTTTTAGTAGGCTGTTATTGGTCAGATTAATCTGCTATGTAGTCCAGCCTTAAAGGGGTGATGAACTGAGAAATCGAATTTTCCTTGAGCTTTTGACATCTAAGAGGTCATCAAATTATAAGAATATCCTGTAAGTTTCAGAACTGAAAACGTCCTTGTTAGTCCAATAAAAGCTTTTATTGACACCAGGCTCGGCAAACGACTCGTTTTTCAAAGTGGGGAACTATGACGACAAAGAGGATAAAACACCACCCCCGCAGAAGAAGATCAACGCCTACTTCAACACGGCCGGTTTAGCCCCGCCCACCGATCCGCGCATTACACGAAACTCATTATAATATGCAAAACTGTTATCCACTCACAGCAGTGGGCGTTTACTTCCGAGTCTTCAATGTGAGACGCCCATAAAAACCGAGCGTTTTTGAGCTAGGCTCAAAACTAGGGTAGAAGATAGCCTATTACTTATTCATTTTGATGTTTTTGAATGTAAAAACCAAGCGAACGTCATAAGTTGACCTCAGACAACAATATAAAACAATTTAAAAAGCCAGTTCATGACCCCTTTAATGACAGAAGTCAAAATGTTTGGCTACATGAGATTATGATGCATTTATATTCACATTCATCATGTTAATGTTATATATGAAATATAATGTCAAGGAATTTTATTCATTTTAAGATTTCTCTTGTTC